GGATAGGAACAGAGGCGTTTTCGCTCTTTATTCAAATGTCATGGCTGCTATGCTAGATATGTATCTAGAGCTGTTTATCACTGATGCACAATCTTGCCTTTTCGACTTATCTGTCATTTGGCAAATAAGGCCACCCAACATCCCTAGATTATTCGTCCTTTTTAACACTGTCTTTCCTGGGGAGGCGAAATTCCACGAGCGGGTAGGCATTTTGAGTCATTCAGGAAGCATCTGCCTCCACAGTGAAGATGCCAAAAACCGGTCTGGATATAGGGCTGGTTGAGAATTTGAAAGTAGATCGATGACTCACAGTGAGACAGATCATTCATGCGCCTTCATTCGCAGGCGCCTTGCCAAGGGGGAACACAAGGTTGACTAAAGCCCATTTTATGGTGATTCCCCCAAATCCCCGGGTTTGTAGCCTTACTTGGTTATAAGTGACATGGTTTTCTTCACTTTATTGCTATTTCTACCTTGTAACCAGAACAGAATCCAGGAGTTACCGTGGAGCTCAATTCTGTTTGCATTTTTGACGGTAAATAACTGCAGAAATCAGGCGTTGAACGCAACTGCATGGAATAAATCACCGGCGCTCTTAATTTACAATGGTCAGTTTGACTCTTTCTAAACCGACTAGAATTCAGAAGCTTTGTCAAAATATTTTATCTGGGTTCCAAGACTGAGGACATAGCTGAGGGGAGATTGTAGATCGATATGTTTGACCCAAATTTGAAGATGAAAAGTTGATTGCAGATCGAGTGGTCAACAATGTGTATTAACATGACCAAGCCACGTTTGCCTGAAAGTGTTCACCATTCTGTCGGAATCGATTAGTGATGCAATTTATGTAACGTTTTTAACATGCGCGCTCGCAAATCTTAGCAACAAAAACCTAGACACCAGGCGTTGCAGTTTCCATAGTCCACGGAGCGTTAGCCCAGTAGCTAACATTTAGCCATGTCCCACTGGTGGACGAAAATGACGCTTCTGAAATGATTACTGTTCGTGCGGAAGAGTCCGCTAGTATTCCGGAGGACCATCGACTTGAGACGTTGAAAGGAAAGAGTCTCTATTAGCCAAAGAGTTGCAAGGCAAAGGTGAGAAAGGGGTTGAAAGGGCGGCGTCGCACACTCCGAAGTCGTCGTCGTCGTCGTAAACGCTGTCGCGGCTCGCGTCAAGACGCGCCGGCGGAGTCTGAACGTGGACTGTCCGGCAGGGGCCGTGCGTCCCCGCCCGCGTGTCCCCATAAACCCACGTGGACTTATGGGCTCCAGATGGTGGGAACCAATCGGCAGAGAGGCAGTTCACACCCTCGCGGAGCCGCCGCCGCTGCGCCGGCAGCTAAGGCCCGTTACCTCGCTAACAATTAATTACCTTCAAACACTTAAATCGACTAGTAATACAAGTTATGTGACGGAATTTTGACCATGCGCACTCGAAAATTTTAAAACAAAAGCCTCGACCCCAGGCGTGCAGTCTCCGTCGGCCGCGCAGCGTCGGCCCTAGCAGTTGATATTAAGTTGTGGCTATCGGGTGGACGAAAAGACTACGCCTCTGAAAAAGTATCCCTTGGACACTTCTTTACACCAGATCTTGCACTTAGAAAGCAGTCTGAGCGCATATTTCACGTGTGCAATTTTTAGACTGATGTAAAGAACCGGTTTGGCCCTAAAGCACCGCGAAGTGGGACTGGAATCTGGTGGTGGTTGAACTGGAAGAGTTAAGGTAAGATCTCTATTTTTGTGTCTCTCGGCTATTTATGTATCCAGAAGACAGGTTGACACGGCACCTGCCGTCTGGTGGCATTTGCAATGGCTGACGCGGTTCGGTTTACGGAAGCTGTAGCCCATGCCATCCTTGTCCACGCGCTCGAGGTTTTTGGCGGGGCATTTTTCAAAACTTTTAAGTTTTGTGTTTCACTAATCCATTCTGAAAAAAATAAACGCTCCCAGGCAAACATGGCATGACCTTGCTGATTTTTAAAATTTATTTCGATCCATCCTTGTCAACAATAATGAGACCCCCACTCTGCTCAACAATAAGATCCCTTATTTCCTTCCGGGTAAGGAGCCTCTTGAGTGGAACACCAGGGATATATTACCGTTCCCGGTCGAGGGCCGAAGAGCCATTCCGTCCCATCGCGAAGCATCTTCTGGTTATCATTCTGGTGGCACGGGGCGGGACTCCTGGCTGATCCGGAGGGGATTATAGCAGAGTCTACCATATCACATTGTTCCATCCCTGGCACGGAAGGGCCTTCTGACCCGCGCAGTTGGCCCCCGATCAGCGCCGAGGAACGCTCATTGACGCAACAACATCCCTGATTACCATAGGTAGTCCGTCGATAGTTGTCACATAGTTTCCAATTCCGTGTTTTTCTGTGTTCTTCAGAGATGTTGAGTTCTCCCTGACAGTAGATTGTAGATGAGATGGGTTCCTTGTGTTGACACGGCTAACCCATGTTTGTCTTAAAATGCTCAAGATCCTGTCAGAGCTGATTACTGATAAGAAAACTGCGTAATATGGTGCTGAACATGCATGTTCGCAAGTCATAGCAATAACAGCCTCGACGGCCGGCGTTGCAGTCTCCAGGCCGTGCGGTGCGGGCCTTGCGGCTGTAACACTAAGCAATGACCAATAAGTAAACGAAAAAGATGACGCATCTTAAGAGAGATGGTTGGTGAACTATGTAAATCGGCATGCATGTTTAATGCAGTGCAAAAGTAAGCCAAACGCAACATTAATCTGAAAAGTGTGTGGGGGGGGGAGCAGGAACATAGCTGGACCCCCACCTTAAAAAGTGTGTAGGGGGGGAGGGCATGACCCCCCCCCCCTCTGCCCCCCCCCCTGTTCCTACGCCCATGATTGCACCTCGATCACTACGGTTTCCAGCAATCGCGAACCATACACTAACTAGACGTTTATGAGCTGGCCACCAGATGTCAGTAGAACGCCGTTCCTGAGCACTCTATGAACGCAAAAGGTATTCAAGGCACCTTACAAACCTTATCAAAATCATGCTTGTGCCCGATTTGATAAGTTTACAGAATTTGATCAAGCTTCGCGGCAATATAAGAAAATAAAAATTGATCTAGGTATCTATATTTTAACACGAATAACATTTGAGTTGGTTCCTGTTTTCAAGTGAATCGAGTTTTGCCAGATTGGAATGAGCACCAGGTCGTGACAAAAATGCTTCAAAGCACGATAACACGATAGTTGTGATAGCTGAAGGAAATTCAACAGCCGATATTACCCATATAGAGGTCTATGCGCTCATTTCAAACTTCGATAAATCCCGATGATACAAAACAGATCATTCAGCCCACACAATAAACGCGCGCGTATAGACACAACTGCGTATGCTCTAAGCTGGAGATGCCAAAGTTGTAGTCAAAGCGTTCACGGTTTTTTACATTGCAATGCATGTTCTCCTTACATAACCTGAGAGCCCGTGGATGAGGGCTTGCTGTTCCACAGTATCTTCCCAGACGCGTGAGTAAAGCTGGCATCTTTCGCTGCATGGAGCGTGATATAACGCTGCATAGAGCGTGAGAACATACGCTTGTTTAAAAACTCTAGCAGTTCTGGGATCACATTTTTTGAATATGGCACGACCAGCTTTGAAATTTAGACGCTGTTGCTACGCATTCTCATCTTGGTGACATTTATATTGACTTGCACCATGTTGACTCGACTGCTGGCGATTACGCTGACTGGACTGTTGACGATGGCGCTGAAACGACTGTTGACGATGAGGCTGACTCGATTCTTCTTGATTGAGGACCAGAGCCAAAACCATGCGAGGCAATTTGCTTGACTGAACCGCTGATATGAACCATCCATTTGAGGGGGAAAGTTTGATTTGAATCATAATTCAGATCCATTTAGTGCCGGCCGTGACCGATCCATCCATGTGGGACTGAATCAGGCGTAACTACAGCCCAGCCGGCAACTTCGCTTATGCTAGGATTACATCATGGGTCTGCTCACTGTGCGAAACGCACCGTAGACGGAGCGATCACGTGACGAATCTTCGCTGGATGACGCTGTATTCTTGCAGCGTGCTTCGCTCCCCAGCGCTGACAGCTGAACTCGGACGAAGCGCCGCTGGATGACGCTGTATTCTTGCAGCGGGCTTCGCTCCCCAGCGCTGACAGCTGAACTCGAACGAAGCGCCGCGAAACGGCCGCCAAACGAGTCACTGACTCATCTTGGACTGAACCGTACATGGTCATCGATGGTTCACATGTTGGGTGTGGACTGCCTGCTGACCCGGCGCTGGAGAAACTAGTCCCTGGTCCCGCAAGGGCCAGGCGCGCCCAGGGGCCTCTGAAGTTGTCTGTAATGGGTTTGGAGACACCCGTGGTGCTATGAGCCTTTGGCATTGACATTGGCCATGGCACTGGGTCGTAGTGCGGGTGTGTGTGCATTGCAGCGCAGGTGACCTACGGTGCGGCAGTCAATGACGTGTTTTTCATGCCACCGTGAAAAAGTTGCCCTTACGTGTATTGCTCACTCAGTACTAGCAAAATCCCTGCAGAGTTAGGGCAACCTGGCTTTGAAGTCGGTTTGCGCTGTTCATTTTCAGAGGCGGATTCTAACGCCCCGCTTGCGGCTAATGTATTCCTGCTGGGGAGCGACAGAAGGAGGGTTGTGACGCAGTAGGTTTGCGCCGCTCCAACATAATCAAAGCTTGTTTTTCTTCCGAGTTACGGCGACGATTTCCGACATTTTGCACCCGCCATCCCCAATAGTGGTGTGCTTTCAAACAGTGAAAACACGAGGCCTGCTCAAGGGTTGCAAAAATACAGCGCAACGGCGTGCGGCAACAAGGCCGTGCGTTTGTTGGTACGGTTTGACGTTTGCGCTCGGATCTGATGCAATCATACAACGGTCAAAGGTCACGTCCTGTTGTCACTTCTGTCAGAGGTGGACTTGTCCGTCGGGCCCCCCGACAGCGCCAGCGCATATACCTGGGGTTCACGCAGCCCACAAGCTCATACCGACCGCGAGTGACGCGTAGCACACAGCTCTGTAGTTTTCTGTCTGCATTGTTTCTATTCAGTGACAGCCGGAACATGGAGCGCATGAAGACAGGTCTGTATGCTCATATTTTTATGCCCTACTGTTTTTCACGCTGGCATGATTATACCGGTACCTGATATGAAACCAACTTGGAAAGGCACGAAAACTGGCATACGCATCAGAGAAGCCCAGATAGATCGTCAGCTCTATCAAAATAGTCGGCAAATCTTGCCCCAGACACGTTTTTGTTTCGTCCTCGTCTGCTCACTAGTCATTTTACGTTTTTGTTTCGTCCTCGTCTGCTCATTAGTCATTTCACGTTTTTGCTTCGTCCCTCGTCTGCTCATTAGTCATTTCACGTTTTGTTTTCGTCTTCGTCTGCTCGCTAGTCATTTCGCGTTTCTGTTTCGTCCTTGTCTGCTCACTAGTCATTTCACGCTTTTGTTTCGTCCTCGTCTGCTCACTAGTCATTTCACGTTTTTGTTTCGTCCTCGTCTGCTCATTAGTCATTTCACGGTTTTGTTTCGTCCTCGTCTGCTCGCTAGTCATTTCAACATTTTTGTTTCGTCCTCGTCTGCTCACTAGTCATTTCGCGTTTCTGTTTCGTCCTTGTCTGCTCACTAGTCATTTCACGTTTTTGTTTCGCCCTCGTCTGCTCACTAGTCATTTCACGTTTTTGTTTCGCCCTCGTCTGCTCATTAGTCATTTCACGTTTGCGGTACTTGATAACCTGGCTGCATAGGAACGCATTGACAAACGCAAAGTGACAAATATATAAGTCACGACTAAACAAGACGCTTTCGTTGTAAAAATAGCCGGCAATTTTGACAGAATTAAACACAAAAGTTGAGTTTTCTATCTGGTTTATCTTGGTATTTGTGAAATCAGATTTGGTTCTAAATTAGGTCTATGTCTCACGATGCTACCTTGTAAAGGCTACTGTACCATTTCCATGCCGTCATACGATCAGGCCAGCCGAGTAAAGAAAAAGGCCGACAGAGAGAAAAAAAGATAGGGGACATAGGCACACACACGCACACACACACACCACACACACACACACACACAACACACACACACACACACACACCACACACACACACACACACACACACACACACACACACACCACACAACACACACACACACACACACACACCACACACACACACACCACACACACACCACACACACACACACACACACATATATATATATATATATATATATATATATATATATATATATATATATATACCCTCATGAAAGCGTTGTGTGACCAAGTTAATTTAAGTATCGCAGTAGTTGCACTTGAAGTCAGATTGCCATTATAACTGTTTTCCGACCTTTGTAAGCGGTGCCAAGTCCGCGTCCATGCGCCCATCCCTGTTTGCATGTCGCTGCTTTTTCCCATTTACTACCGTGCGGCATAAAGGTCGGAATCCCAGAGTGTTGAAAGAGAAATATCTTACCTTCCACTGCCATCCACCGTATAGCTGTCAACAAACGGGATCTCTATAGCGCATGGAGAACGGACTCGCTGATTCCCGATTTTTTGCCCTATGCACTATTCAGTACGCGGCCTAGAGGGGTACATGGCGAGAGTGAAAATGTCCGGACATTGGGTCTATGCTTACTAACGCCTTACGCTAAGCTTCTGTAAACTATGTAAACGATCGCTGCTATGTCATTTACTGGTCAGTGTCGGGAGCGCTAAACACTGAGGTGTGGTAAAACGTTACGACTTGGTGAAAAGGTCGGCTACAAAAATGTATTTCATGAGGTGCTACTTGGTGCTAAAAGTGTTTCTGGCTGAAATTCGTTTCAAGTCGGCCACGACAAAATGCTGCAGCACACGTTGCACGGCACAACATGCGGCTTCCATAGCAACGCGTTGCGTCACACAATACTAGCACACCTTTACGTCAAGGCCCTTTACCGTACCATACAGCACCATGGTATCGTTGTCAGGCTTCACCCCATCCCGGCAACAACATACCTTACGATGTTCAGTTGGTCGCTCGACTCGGTGGCGGGTCGACGACAAATCAGTGCGTTTCCAACGGCCCGCACAATCAGCCGATTCGCTGTTTCCACCAGCCAGCTATGGGCGGCCCATATAAGACAGTAGAAAATGCTGAAAAGCATCTGGAGACGGCGCTTCATCTGGCCGCGAGGGTACGTTTCAATCGTTGCGATGCGGAGGTGCGCGGTGGCTTTCATTGCCATGCGACTTCGCAGGCGGCAGCTTCATAAAGAGCCACGTTGAATTTGTTTGACGTTGCTGATTTCGTTGTCGATGTCGCGATAGAGCGTCATGTCCTCATCGACCAGAGGCATGGGCATTTCAGAATAAGTCGGTGAGATGATCTGATGGAATTAGACAGTGACCTACGGTTATCTAGACTGCCTTTTCATAGCACAGAAGAGGCCGTTGACGCACCATAGCAGTTGCAAGCAACCATACTTACCTCCTTACAACAGAATCGTGGGTTCCATTTTGGAGGGCGATGACATTATTGGCGCAAGCAAATGGTTGGGAGATGAAAGTGACTCTACAGGGACAATTTATGCCATTTTTGTTTTGAATCTATGTCCTCATCAGTTGCACTGATATTGAGCGGCAATTTATTTCAGTAAGCATCGTCAGCTTGAAAATGCCAATTTTTACCAGTTGGACCTTTTGTTAATATCAACCATGGCTCATAGAAATGAATATGATGGGCATTAGCAAGAGGCGTACCCAAGGCCCAACGGAGGAGCAGTCTTTTGCCCCCTAATCCAAAATTTTTAGTTCGGATAACAGGAAATTGTGCATGATTTGGTTGCACACAATTGGCCTAGGGTTCAGTGAATATTTGACGTCCCTGTGACGAAAATTATGGCTACTTACCTGATATAGGACTCCTAATGTAACAGGAATGGCTCTAGAAGAAACATTTTGCAAGGCTTCTTACCTAATATTGTCTGTGCCCCCATGAGCATAATACATGAATGCGTGCACTTTTGATATTTTGTAGGAGAAACCGATACGATTTGCCTGGAGGAGGCATTGCACCAGAGGTATCTGCTTATATAAGTGATGAGGAAGGGAGCCAAAGGCCTGACGATTTCTTCTCCCCTGAAGATGCGCTTATCAAGAGGTTTAGACCACTTTGCTTTAACGAGGGACACCTGTCATTTTATTTGCTCCTCATTGATTGAAAACTCTTTTATTTTGAGCAGTATAATCATCATAGACAGCAAACGATGCCCAGAGAACATGAGCTCTGCGTCATCCTTATTTTCTTCCTTAGTTTTTGCTAATGTTTGAACAGGAAACATGGCGGGCGGGGGGAGGGGGCGGAGCAGAAACAACATTGAGAGACCCCAATTAACATTGGCAGGGGACAGAATTCTAACAAAACAAAAAAAACAAAAAACAAAAAACAAAACATCTGAATTGATCTTTCCGGACTATGTATCGAGTATCACAGGTTTCATTAACCTGTTTATGATTAAGTGTACCTTATTAGTGTATTAGTGTAGTTAGTGTTTTTAGTGTGATTTAGTGTATTCAGTTATTTAGCCTATTTTGGTTTGATGATCACGGTGGTACCGATGCGTGTCTTTTGGAATGAAAAGTGCCATTATCATGCACCAGCTGATTCCCCACAATCGGAACGCGCATTCGTTAAACAGCTGGTGAAATACATAGAAATATGTCAAGAAAAGTGATAAGATATATCGCTTAGGAAAGGTAGCACGCTGCCATGAAACCACCCTTACACTTAAATGCAGTTTACTTGCTTCATGGCAGTTTTCATGGCGCGGCAAGTACATACTTTTATTAGTCCTTATAACAACACGTTTTAGTGGCAACTGACTGAATTGACCTGATCTGCGCTAGCCACACTTAGGACGGGTGATTACAAATGTTATTTATTCACAATACCAATGCTGAGCAAATTAATGAGATATATGTACCGATATCCTGATTTGTATTCAATGATGCAAAGTCATGCTTTGCATCCTCCTACTTCAGCCAGATAACCCTGATATCTATGATAACAAAATAGCAGCCAAATGCCAAATAGTTACAGAGGCTGCTGATATTTAATAGCATACAACCAAAGCTTGGACAGTATCCGGCCTATCGGGAGGGTACCGAATATCTTCTATTCGGAGGATACCCAAGTGGCGATATATGTAGGCAAGCTGCCTCCTGCCTCCTCTGGCTGATTATTCCATAGAGACTGGTAGAAAGTTTCAAGAACCGGCTTCGAAGGCCCACTCTTTCAATTATGAACCTGCCTCACCGAATGAGCTGCTGAGACCACAAGATACGCCACAAAAGTCGAAAAATTCCTGACGCATAATTTGCACGAAAGCCCGTACCCGATCCACCGAGGGAGTTTTGCTTCGGTACACAACAAGGGCAGTGGATCGGCTCAAGACCAAAAAGGAATATTTTGTTTGATGCCGGGCTCATCAAAACTGATCTGATAAAATTTGATTCACAACTCTGTGAAAAGCAGGCCCTGAACGCCTTAACCCTATGGGGCTAGTAGGAAAAGTTGTGCTAGTAGGAAAAGTTTTGAAAGTGGAACGGTTGTGCTGCTAATGTACTTTAATGGGGGGGGGGGGGCTGAATGCTCTTAGCATTGGCCCTCATAAAATAACTGGGAGAAAGGAGAAAAATTGCATTCATTTTTGAGCTATATTTCTTCACCAAAACGATGAGTAGTGATATGAGTATTAAAATATCTATCTCTCCCTTCTTCTGGTTATTCGATGAGGAATAATGCTAACCATGCTGCCTCATGTTAGTGAGGAATGCTCCTCCCAAATGCATTCCACAACCTACTGAATCGGTATTTTCTTTAAACCTTTTTGTGACCTCACCTTTCTCTGGCCCTAATGAATAATTCTTTCAGGACACTCCCACTACCTCTCGCCCAGCATTTGCGCAGCCGCGTTCAAGTCAGTCTGAGCTTGCCCTGCAACCCAGTATACTCTTCATTCCTTCTAAGGCGCATAAATCCACTTTAGACGGGTATATACCGACTGCTGGGGTGCGGCGAAAGGCGCCTAGCAGGCCGCACATGTTCCACCAGGCTTGAAGCTTAGTAGCTTGAAGTATTAGTATTAAGGCTTAAAGGCTTAAGTATGGCGGAGATATGATGGTAGTTGGGTTTGGGCTCGGTGCATACACGGGGTTTTTGTAAGGTGACAAGGTCTTGAATGAACCCGAGCATCAGATTTCATCCCCTAGTGCGGCCTGCCACCGGTTCCGATTCCGTCATGTATTCGGGTGCCCTAACTGCCGAGATTCCTCGCATTTTTCGCGTTTGTGGGAGCGAAGTCAGCCGCAGGTCAACAGTAAACCTGAATCCTCGTCAAGTTTCGAGGGCGGGAAGAAATCTCCTTCGGGATTGGACTATTCCCTAAACTGAGAAAACGCGCCTGCTTTCCTCGAGGCAGCAGTTATTCTGACATAAGTCGAATGACATTGCGTAAATGAGCGCTCCAGTTGCGTACATATATTGGAAATTGGGGTGGTGAGAGAGGCTCTCGGTGCTCGTCAAGAAAACCCAGAGCATGATTGCGCCTCCGAGCATAGACTTCATCGCCAATTTGTAATATCCTATTGAGTGATGATGCTGTCGACAATTTTGTCTGAAGGAATTCCGTCGGTGACAGAATACAAATATTTTAAGCACCCCTGCAAACACTATTGATATTCGTAGCATGGATTTTCGTTACGAAATCCCATTTTATTTTCAGGCGCCGCATGGGTTATGCTGCTTTTGGTTGCATTGACTGAAGCCAATGTCCCAACTGGCCTGGATTTAAAGCTGCTGAAGGCTTTGACGAGCAGTCTGAACAAGAACCAGGCCGTCGCTCCGTTCGTCATATCCTCACTGATGACGCAGGTCTGGCTTGGAGCCAGGGGCGACACCAGAAACGAGGTACGTGCCAGGTGACGAACTCTGCACACCGTATTACTGGCTTAGATCACACACGTACCGACGTGCTGTCTGAGATTGTCCAGTACACGCACATGTAGGGAGAATGCTGAGCCAAGCGGGTGCAAGAAGGGAGAATGCTGAGCCAAGCGGGTGCAAGATTGCTTTTCGGCTGCTTTGCTAACTGCCAATCCATTGGACGGCCACAGGGAGCCGTTAGCAGGCCCGGCTGGCCCGTTGTGGCAGGCTGGTGTTGTTGAAAAGTACGTGCGCACGGATTCGAGCGTAGTATTTGGGATGCCTGCAAATCCGGTGAACTGTCGACTTCACCACGATCACGGATTGATACAGATGCTAACTTTTTACACGAGTCTGGGTTGCGGCCTTTTAAGTGACACGCAACTAGAACGCGAGAATAAAACACGGTCATGGATTTTTTGGGGGGTTTTGTCGGAAACCAATAGATGCAACACGTAGCAAATTTTAAGTATGTGGAACTTTTGTCAATACACCGATAATATAGGAATTAAGTGTGTTCTCAATGTAGGGCCATAAGTTATTGGATTTCTGTTCGCCATCTCCAGGATTACTTAGTTAAATGGAGTAGAAATGTGCTACGTGAGGCATTATCTGGCCATCGAGCTGTCTGGAAAACCATGACAATTTTTAAGTCTTGCCACGTCATTGGGAGGTTTCCAGGCACATAGGAAATCGGCTTAAGACTGTGTATCCTTTCGTAAAAATTAATTTAATGACGTTTCAAACAAAATGAACTACATTTACTACATACCCAGTCGTAACAACAATTTTGGGACTGCATATGTCACGAGCCGTCAGCTGATCACAAAATCGCTGGTCAGCCGCCGGTCCCGGGTCGGCTTGTGGCCGACCTGGCTACCGGCTAGCCGCCATCACTGTTGGTGGGCGATTGCACAGATGACAAGCCTTCAACAGCCAATTGATAAATTTGTGGCAATTTCAATGGAGATTTATGTGGCAGCTGCAACACATGTCACACAGCATTCTCCAGCTACGTACGTGTTTCGGTTTAATGAAGCTCTGATTGCCTGTGTTTTGACGCTACGTAGCTAATTTGTCGAGGGAAACCCAGTGTAACTTGCTGTATGCTTGTGTAAATTTTCAAAGTATGTCCTGAGCATTTTAGAAAAGAAAACAACGTTGGAACATTTGGGAAACGAACTGCTTGATCAAGCTAAATGCTTAAGGTATAATTCCACAAAATGGCTATCGACCATTCATTAAAAGTAACATCAGCGCCCTCTGAATAGATCGCTGCATTACTCTGTATGACTGCCTTGCCGACAGATGACACCAGTCCTGGGTATAGAGACAAGCAAGGGATATTGCTTTTTGAAGGGCTACATGCATGCAGTCGAAGAACTCTCCAGCGGCATTAGTAATGTCACTACCGGCGTCTTCAATCGTATTTACTTGAGAGATAACTTCAACGTCAAGTCGAGATTTAAGCTCCTCCTGCGCCAATTCTACAGTGCAGATGTCAAGAAGTTTTCTTCGGCGACGCTGGCGGCGAATGAAATAAACGCCGACGTGGCTAAGGTTACAAGAAAACGCATCCAGAAACTAGTCCAAGCAAGTGCTCTGCAAAACGCGGCTCTGGTCCTGGTCAGCGCATTGTACTTCAAGGGCCTGTGGCTGACTCCGTTCGACAAGACCGTGAAGGAGCCGTTCCTCACGGCCTCAGGGGACAAGCAGGTCGACATGATGAAGCTTGAAACCCGAGTGCCGTATGTAAAGATGTCTAGTTTTGATGCGATCGCCTTGCCGTACACGGACAAAAACTATGTTATGCTGATTTTGCGTCCACTGACACGTAACATGGCTGCCGTTTCACGTCTAAGGGACGATCTCGATACCCTCGATGTCGCCGACATTATGGAGCGTTTGCGTTCCTCGTCCGTACAAATAAGTATGCCTCGTTTCAAGATGAGAGCAAGTTACGGACTAGTGGGAACCATGTCACAATTGGGAATCCGCAAAGTCTTCACGCGGCAGGCAGATCTGGGTAACATTGCCGATAAGCCGCTAGTTGTTGACAGCATCATCCACAAGGTGTTTATTGAGGTGACGGAAAAAGGTACTGAAGCTGCCGGAGCGGCAGCTGTCGTTGTCGGGATTACAAGCCTGCCGCCTCCACCCATTCAGTTCACTGCAGATCGTCCCTTCTTTGCCATGGTCTGGAACAAGAAACACAGGATCAACATGTTCTCCATTTTCATGACTTCACCGCAGACGTTTGGCTAACGTTATGTGAGCTGATCACGAGCGACTTTTGTTGCACCCGTTGGTATTTTGTGAATAGTTTAAGCATGCTTTGGGTGCACTTCATGTTGCACCTGCTTTCGTTATGGTCGCGCACTGAATAGGAGACCTATTACCATTCACGTTGTGACACCCAAGTGGAAGGTTGCAAAAAGTCCTCTGATATCACAGCCGTGCCGTAGCCTTTAGGTTTCATTTGCCCGAGAATACTGGTGCGAATCTAGAAAAGGGTGTGCTCCATTAAAAGACACGTCAGCCCAATCTGAGTTTGTAAAATTTGCACAGTAGTTTTCTATCTTTAGAAGACGATGTTATGATTGCTTGCTGTGTATTTCAGATTACTTCTAGTGCATTTCAAGCAGAACTGTTTGATGAATCTTTTCGTCTTGCGATGCACCACTGTTTGATACAATATACCTTCCCCTCGTATTTGCGTCCGTGAAAGTGTCTGATTTGGATGCGATCTCCCTGCCGTGCCGCGATCAATGCTAACTTCGGCTCGACCGTCACCAACAACCAGGCCGCGTCCATCTGACCATGCGTCTACTGAGGGTGCGTCGTTCTTACCCTGCGTCTACTGGCACACAAAATGACTGACCCCTCGCGTCATTTGATTGACTGTACGAATGCCACTGATGCCGTCAATATCATGAAGCGTTTGCGTTCACTGTCTGGTCAGTTGAGCGCGACTCGGTTCAAGATGATAGCGAACTACGAACTGAAGAAACCACATTCCATTTGCAAATTTTCAGACTTTTCACGTCGGTGGAAGATCTGGTTGAAATTGCCAGCGGGTTACAGACCGTCTACAGCATCATCCACAAGGTAAATATGCCGGTGAAAGGGTGAGGAGAAATGAATGGACGCTGCTGGAGCGGCAGTTATCACCTTCGGGACCAGGAGCGTGCAGCATCTGCCCATTCAATGCGCTGCGAATCGCCCTTTCTTTGTCCTTGTCCGGAACAAAAGCCAAATGATGAACTTGTTCTCTGCGCACGTTGCTTCATAGACGCATGGTAAACATTCTGCGCTCTGTTTTTAGACAGGTCATATGACGTTTATTTTATTAGTGCCGATCATTTAAGCATGTCGTAAGTGCATAATTTGCTACAGCCCCTGCCAATATGGCCCCGTGCCAGTATGAATGCCCAGCGTTGTACGAGTTGAAGCAACCGATTGGTAAATTGGAAACGATTTGCAATGTATAATGATGTATGCTTTATATTTCACGTAACATATAAGCTGGGGTAAGGGTAGGAAACCGTTCGTCACTGGCAAACACAGCCCACACTGGGGTAAATACTTCTTGTTTACCGTTGCGTCACTGTTTAAAATAATGTAACCACTCTTTGTCTTTCAAGATTATTGTGGTGTTGAGGGAAACGTTTGAAGAGAAAGGAGCACAGGTGTGCATCATTTGGCGCTTCAGATAGGTACCTTTTCCGAGAATATCATGGCATGATGTGCTGAAGGTAACGATATGATATAAACATACAATATGATGAATATGATCCAATACATGATGCTCTTATTCCATTAAGGCGAGAATGGGTTCATTCACAAACCTATCTGGTAACTCTTCAAAATTCTCAGACTGTTGGTTACATGATTTATAACCATCTGTTGTCCGCATTGACCCACCCTGCCGGACAGGGCCAGACAGTGAAGGGAACCGGGAGGCGTGGTCTCGACATCTTGGGAACAGTGCCAGAGAAGGTCTTCTGTCTGTGGTCCCCTGAAGTGAACAGGAACATGGCATCACGGATAGCTATTTACGGGGCTGTAGCTCAGGTGGTAGAGCGCTCGCTTAGCATGTGAGAGGTACGGGGACCCATACCCCGCAGCTCCAAAAATGGAAGCTTTGGCACACGGGACATGTGTGGGAGGAAGTTTAGGGGTGAGTGGAACACTGCGAGCTCCACACATTCTGTATGTTTTTACGCAAGCTATCGAGATATTGTAATGTGCGACGACAATAACGCGTTTGAGTTTAAGAGCCCAGTGCCAAGGCGGTTCTTCAGCTTCATTCCATACATAACTCTATTGAAAACGCAGCATTTGGGGCTTCGGGGTATCGCTCTCCGTGCCTCTCACGTGCCAAGTGTGCGCTGTACCATTTGAGCTCCAGAATTCTCTGCTATCGGCTCTCAAATGTGGAAATTATGCCCCGCTGTCTGCCCCGCTGGAGACCCCATTCCGGAGTAGCGGGCGGCGTAAGTAACGCAGGATGGTCTACACCCTTTTATTTTCAATGGACCAAAGTTTAATTCCAATTTAAAGAGTGTTCATGCTGAGATGACTAAGGGTTCATGCAAAATAACACAGTCTCATTGCACAAATATCTTCACAGAGCTGATAGCATTTAAAGCACGATCACTTCTCGGACAGAATACATTTAATACGACTAAACTTCTGAAAATGAAGTGTCCGAAATCGAATGCTTTCCCCTTTTTATTTTGTGGTAAAATTTAAGTGTAGCCCGAGGCCCGGAATATGACCCATATATGGTCAAAGCCCTCATGACTTGATGGCCCTTTCATGGTGATATCCTGGAGCCACTAGTACCCACAGCATCGCTGCCAACGCCTCTTCCACGCGGGTTTCGCCTTGTGTTATGCATCCTATGCATCGCTTTTTCCAAAAACACAAATTTATCGCCCTACCGTAGTACATGTTTATCTTCAGCTTAAGTTTCAATACTTGAAACAAAATGGCGCACCTTCCGAATGAACTTACGTCCAGAGTTCAACACGCTTAAGTTATCGTTGCGTTTTCGCTACCATTTAAGGGCAGCTATGTCACTTTTCAAGGGTGGATAACCGCCAGCGCGGCAGCGGGGACCGGGGATCATGAGCTCTGACAGAAATGTCGCACAAAGGCCACATGATGCAACCGGCCGGCCATCGGCACCGAGCCGTGCGCTGCGGCCGTCGGACCGCTGACAGTCAGGATTCAGGCGGCGGCGCATTCTCTGTGGGGCCTGGACTCCACCGGGTGAGCGCTGCTCGGCGGTGGCTGCCGTTGCCGTTCTGCGGAGCAGCTGCTAGCGGCCATCACGCGACGGCTTTACCCCAGCCTGCATCAGCAGGTCATCGCATCGAAGTCATGCTGCGTTCAAAGCAAGGTAAGTCCAAAGCGATATTCTGCGCGCGCAATTTTCTTACGACTCTGACACTGGCACGGGTGGCCAGCTGGTTACGACACGCTCGGGTTGGGGTGGGGCAAATTCGACCCTTTAGGGTCTGAAAAAGGGCCATCTAGAGAACCATCTAGGGGCAGCTAGAGAACCCAATGGACAGGGCAGTGTAAGACAGGACAGACAGGACAATAGGTCCATATGGACTTCCCTTTTCGGACGTTTGACCTATCCAGGTTGTACAACTTTGGATCAAATAGGCCAAAACGTCATATTTTGCAGAGGTTATAATTGCATTACTTGCGCCCATGAACTGCTGTATCATGCTATTGCCGAGGCCATGTTCAATAAAGAGCAATAGTGGCTATGTCGTCTTGTCTTATAAGCGGATTGCATGTCGCGGAATGCGGCCATCCGGAGATTACATCCATATCTATTTCCACGCAACACGCAACTTGCGAGTGAGAGCTTTGCTTAGTAGTTGTGGTTGTAGTAGTTGTGATTGTAGTAGTTGTGGCTGTAGTAGTTGTGGTTGTAGTAGTTGTAGTAGTAGCAACTTAGTTTTGGGCTGCATGGAGAACGGCGTACAGCACTCTACTCTACGCAGCGCGGTTGCCATCTTCGACGCCCAACTCATAGAGTGACCTAATGGGATGAGTTTAAAGTATCTCAATATTTTTACGTAATTTGTTTCACATGTTGATTCGTAGACGTCCTCATTTGTGTTTTTTTCCCTCGTTTTGATTCACCCTATTTAACTCCTAATTTTATTTCATATTTAACCTAGTTTCCCAGTCAGGGCTTAACGCAGGGCTTTCAATGACGTACAACATTCCTTGTCGTCGCAGGTGTCCAACAATTGGCACAGAGGCTCCATCCAGCTCAGCAAAACGAACCCTGTCTGAAACGAGTTCCCGTTCTATACTGGGGCTTCTGACTGCCACTGGGCCTTCCAATACCTCCTTTTGACCTCTCATCGTACACTCTCAAATCCACTTTCGTTGTCAGATGGCCTCCCAAAACACAAGACGCCCTCTTACATTCGGGGTCCCGTTCTTATCCCTGTTCAGCAAATGCTACCCTTGCCGGCCCAGGTCACTGTCCGACATAGGACCCTCTGTTCGGCACTGTGGGGGCCTGATCCACACCGGAGCCGTATTGTTTCAGGGGTCCCGCCGATGTAAACCGCGGGTACCGACCGTTTCTCTGCTATGGGAATGGGCCCCAGGGCTCAGACTGACACGGAGCAGACTGGTGTTGGTGGTCTGGTGCAGACTGGTGTTGGTGGTCTCTGACCAATATAGAGGCCCGCATCGTCCTAGGGTGTTCCACATTGGCACAAGAGGCCCTATGACTGATACCCTCGGGCCCAGCCATGCGGGTCGGAGTCCTCAATTTATCCTCTGCCAGCTCTTCGTGCCCTCCAATCAAGCACTTAATCGTCAGGGCCGAGGGTTATTTCGGTCCCTCTGCAGGCCCTAACGGACACTGCCCCTACCCAATTTGGGGTCCCTTACCTATACAGGATCCTCGTCAGGCACTCGGATTTTCAGACCGATACGGGGGTCCCTCATTGACTCGGGGGCTCGGCCAATGTAAATCGTTGGCCCGGCCTTACCCCTGCCTGAAAAATGGGCCCTGAGTCTCAGGCCTGACGTTGAAATAATCTGCCAGCGAATGCGCCTCCACCACAGTAATGTAACTTCGCAACATAGGCCGGGGGGTTGAGCGGGGAAAATTAACCATGAATACGCTAAACAATACGTTTCTCCCCGGAGTTGGCCCACTTTTTGCTTAACGTTATGGACTTTGAGTCCCCCAAACCGAATAAGGAGCTACACCCCTACTCCAACACGCTTCCTTGTTCCATCATTGCGGAAGATGTTGACATTGGGCATCATCGTCATTTTGATTAGCGTCGATTGGCGGAAGCAGGTTCCGGCAATAAGCGTGGGGTGATTTTTTTTGGCTTCAGACGTTCTTAAACGTGTGCAGGCTCGGAATTAACGAGTACAAGATGTGTGCGACTGTTAAAGGTTGCCACGCCCCCCCCCCCCCCCCGATGGTAGGCGCAAGGCGGGGTGCAGGCAGCAACTCACCATCCTCGCTATGCACGTTGTCGGGCGATTGCCGCTATAACATTGGTCGGCTGGTGTCGGTCGTCGGGTTCTCGTAACTGTTCCATCGATTATTCACGTCAAAGTGGAGGTCAGCACATTTCAAGGGTTCCTCCAAATGTAAACGGCTGATAACCTAATTGCGTTTTTGGGTCCCAATTTCGACCAGCTTCAGTTTTCATGATATGATAAAATTTGGAAACAGAATCACGCAACTCCTTGCAGCCTGGAGAACCTCTATCATAAGTTGTTAAGTGCATTTGCGAGGATCATCATGCATATAAATACGACACTACTAACAGTCACGCACACACACACACACACACACACACACACATACTTGTGTGCCGTGCTTTACGGGACACCTGACTCAGCCGTCACTACCGAGAACCACCCGAACGAATGGCGGCATCGCAGCCAAATTGGAAGGCCATGCAGCCATTTGGCTGTTTAAGAACAGGATGGGTCGTTCGAGGGGTAAAGCTGCCATCTTTAGCTTACACTGGCAATTGAAAATACCGAGGACATAGTGATAACAGAGGACCGTGTGTGACTTTTCTGTCATATTCAGCTGTGTATTGAGGACCGGGAGTTGCACTTGGAAATTAAGGACAAAGGGACAAAGGCTCTCAGGTCGGGGGCCTCGAACATCATTCAG